CCTTGTTCCCCCTCCACCCTATCTTTTCATATTCCAGAAATGGCTGAGATAACAAAATGATAAAAAATTCGTATTCGAAAATTTCGAAAATGTATGTTTAAAGCCCCTTTCAACACTGTAACCTTATGAGGCAAGAGAGAAGAAGGGAGTACATTTTAAAAAAGCCGACAAAACAAAACAAACAAAAATCAAGGTACTGTACCTCGGCCGTGTGTCATTCATGTTCCAGTTATACACCACAGTTCCATTGGTAATGACGTCATTAGCATCTGCATATAAGTGACACTCGTCCTCTGGGGGGATGTACCAACCGATAAGAGCCGAATGGTGGCTGTCGACAGGACTGAAAGTATCGTTGCTGACTCCAGGAACAGCGCATCTGGGGGGAAACAGAAGACGAACAAATCATTGCATTATTCATCATTATTCATTCATCTCACTGGCAAAACTAAAGGCAAACGATGCAGGGGTAGACCCAGGGTAACCTTTTTGGAGAGCCAAAAACAGATCGGTGACGGGATAGATCAGGACAATGTAGCTTTTGTGAAAGCGTCCGAGCAAAGCAATGAATGAAGAACCGTGATCGCCGATATCTGTCGCAGATCGGGTACTTGATGATGATGATGATGATGATGATGATGATGATGATAGAAGAATAGAAAATTAAAGTAATTTGAACTTGAGGGAAAGAACTATTAAAGGAAAATTTCATCAAGGCAACATTTGAAAGCCTTATTGCTTTTAGAATGTCATGTTATGGCAATAAGATTTTTTCTAAACAACAGCTATTACATTTGGACAGATTCATATGAACAGCAGCAAAAGCTATTAATAGTTAATTCTTCTTTTTTTTCACTGAGCTTCTTTTAACATCAATACTGTGAAACCAGCAAAGAAGATCATTGCCGAAACAAACGCCTACTAAATCCTGGAATCTCAGACGTCTATGAGAAGTAAACGTTTTACTTTTTTTTAAAGCAAACAAGCAAAAACCAACGGGTATAAATTTTCATTCATACCGTCATCGATACCAGTTTTTCAGACATTGTCGGATGTGCTAGAATTACATGATAGGCCTATTATACAGTATTGTATATCCACCGAACGACTACTCGGCTGCGTGCGACAGTGTGTGTAAATGTGTGTGTGTGTTTGTGTGTGTGTGCGTGTGTGTGTGTGCGAGTGTGAGTGTGTGTGTATGTGTGTGTGTGTGACTGAGTGTGTGAGTGCGTGTATGTGTGTATGTCTCTGTGTTTGTGAGTGTGCACCATTCTGTAATTGAGGGTTTTACGGCACTTGCAACACAATTAGGTAATATTATATTATAAGTGCCGAAGATTAGAGGTAGTACAAGAGAGTAACAAACACAAAAAAGAAGGAATTATGAGGTTGATAGATGCTTGATAGAAAAGAAGGAGCAAACCACACCAGAGCACCCGCTGACCACCCTTAGTGTTTTTGTTTTGTTTTTGTTTTTGTAAAGTGTTTTACGGCGCTCGCAACTGCATAGGTCATATGAGCGCGCGGGACACACCTAATATTTTCAGTTGGTAGGAAATTTTGAATTTTGCCCGGGTGGCGGCCGAAGCCTACTCTTATCGATTTTAGACCACCAAGGGATCTTTAACGTGCGCAACTTGCACACGGGCCCTCCGAGATTTTTCGCCCTTGTCCGAGAAGGCTAGAAGTAGATCTTTCCTACCAGAAGATCAAGGGTGTGGCAGAAAGACAGCAGTAAGGAGGGGCCAAGGAGTAGCAGTAGAAAGGCTGCAGAAAGAGTCAGGAGCCCAGAGGAGGGGGCAAAGGAGGTGAGGGGGTGGGGGCAGAAAGTGGAAATGAAAGCAGACAACAGAACATTACTAGAGAGCAGGGAAGGAGGTGAAAGGAGACAATTTTAGAGAAGAAAATTTTTCGGTCACTACCCGGATTCGAACCCGGGACCTTTGAATGAGAGGCCAACACCTTAACCTCTAGGCCACGAGAGCCCCCACCCTTAGTGTTTATTGTCCTGATTGCTTGTGCGCGTACGCATCTACCATAGCGCAGCAAATTTTTCTTTGGGGAGTCATATTATTACATGATAATCCATCTTATCTTTTTGTATACATAGATTATAATCGACACCATTTTGACAGTCGCTACCTTAGAATTACAAAGTCCTATATAACGTTTTAGGCCGTTTTTGGAGTTACAAAGACCATGAGTCGTAACCAATATATTATTCAAAGAATTGTATTTTGAAAAGCTCGACATGTTGTGAAACTCGTTTTTTTTTTAAACGTCAAATTTATTTCTCCAAACTACTCGTAGGCACCGAACAGATAGAGCTTGTGTAATTCTAGAAGGGTAGCGCAGTGTTAGAAAAGTATAACTTTCCGTGTCTTCAAGCATCACGCCGATCACACCGCTCTGTTTCATGATCTTGCAAGACATAACCATGACTACACTGGCCCTACACTGCATTGTGACTACAGCGGCGATCCCGAATGGTGATTTAAAATTTAAAAAAACAAAACAACCAAAAACATTTTAATTTTGAATAAAATAAAAATGGCCGTCTATTTTGTTTGTTTGAGTAAAGAGAGGCACATCGACACAATAAGGGCCATTTAATGCTCGGAAAAAGTAAGGCAGACAGACAGAAAAAACAGAGGCGAAAATAAAGAAGTTAGACCTACCAGTGGCGCCCCCAACCACCCGCATGACCGCCTGCTATAATTCGCTTAACATACCAACACGCAAATATGAACAATCATCAATTCATATTCTAAAATCTACATAATAATGAAATCCTGAATTGTGAAGTATTTGTATCTTAGCGCAAATTTGTGGGGCAAAGTGCCAAATTGCATTGGTTGCAACACAGTCAGGCTATTTTAATTAATTTTTTTTTGGTAAGTGTTTTACGGCGCTCGCAACTGCATAAGGTTATAACATGAGCGCGTGGGACACATTAAACATTTTCAGTTGGTAGGAAATTTTGAATTTTGCCCGGGTGGCGGCCAAAGCCTACTCTCATCGATTTTAGACCACAAGGGGATCTTTAACGTGCGCAACTTGCACACGGGACCACCGAGATTTTTCGCCCTTGTCCGAGAAAGCTAGGGGTAGATCTTGCCTACCAAAAGCCTAGAACTAGAAGAGAGGGCAAAGGGGGTGAGAGGGTTGGGGCAGAAAGTGGAGACGAAGGCACACGATAGAACATTGCTAGAGATAAGGAAAAGAAGTGAAAAGAGACAATTTAGAGAAGAAAATTTTTCAGTTGCTACTCGGATTCGAAACCGGTACCTTTGAATGAGAGGCGAACACCTTAACCTCTAGGACACGAGAGTCCCCAGTCAGGCTATTTAAGAAGCAGGACTTCCGAGTTTAACGAAGTTGGATTTTACTCCAACAACCCGTTTTCTAATCTTCTCTAGTCTTATTGTTAACACCATCCTGTGCATAATAGTCTGCAAAGTTTTCGCGTGCCCTACTTCAACGCAGAAACTAAAATACTGTGACCAATAGTCGCAATCAATGTATGCCCACAACTTTTTTTTCTTTCTATTTAGTCCATGCTAAACTTTCCTATCCCTAAAGCAAGAGATGCAGACAGTGTATTCAAATTCACTAATAAAAATCATAATGATGTAATTGTATTTTTATTACTATTATTATTATTGTTGTTATTATTATTATTTTTACTATTACTATTACTATTATTATTATTATTATTATTATTATTATTATTATTATTATTATTATTATTATTGTTATTGTTACTATTATATTAGCGTAGATCCCCGCTAGGGCTTTACAAGTATTATTACCCCGCAAAACCTAGAGCACTCAAACACATGCTCGACTTCCTGGTAAGCATACCGTGCAAGCTGTCACTTTAAGGGCACTAAAATTTATCAAACTGACAAGACATTTCACTGTCTATTATTTCTAGCCTGGCACCCATTTCCTCATATATGAAGGGGAAAAAATTGTGTTAAGTGCTTTTCCCAAGAACATTGAGAGTCGGAGAGACAATAATTAATACACATTTTTTGACATTCCGCTCACATGTCAAGCCCGTTCATTATGTCATTTGCATTTGGAGTTAATTTTTTTTCTACGCATCTATTCACTCAACAACCCCTCACAAGACACACGCTGGTATACTTCCTTTGTGTATTCTACCCTCTGAGATGGTAAAGAGGCTTAACCTTCTCTCTGTGTGATTGTTGACCCGTGGCCCCTTTTTAATCACCAACGCAGTGGGGCAGCATGAAGATCTACTGACCACAGTGAAGAGACGAAAATTAAAATGGTATGGGCATGTCATAAGATTCGCCAAAACAATCCTACAAGGAACCGTACAAGGAAAGAGAAAAAGAGGAAGGCAGAGAAGGAAATGGGAGGACAACATTGCAGAGTGGACATGAAAGACGATGGGTGACAATCTGAGGAAAGCAGAGGACCAAAATAGACGGCGAGAGCTGGTTTTCAGATGCAGTGGTGCCCCCACGGTTGCACCAATCACGGGATAGAAGAAGAAGAAGAAGAGTTTCACAGCGTTTGCAACACAGTAAGGTCATTATAAGTGTCGAAGATTAGGGGGTGTTACAAAGGATTGTTTGTTTGAGTAAAAAGAAGCACACGGACACAATAATGGTCAGTGAGTGCTGAGAAAAAGTAAGAGAGACAAAACCAATAGAGGTAATGTAAAGAAATAGGACCACCACCAGTAGCACCTTCCGACCACCCGCAGGTTCATTCACTCTTCACAGAAGTGAACCGTGAGATTGATAATTACCTTTGTCTAGTATTAGTAGAGGTTTTACGGCGCTCGCCACTGCATATTAATAAGGTCATATTCAGAATATTAGAGGAGCTACAAGAGAGTAACAAAGACAAAAAAGAAGAAGGGGAGATAAGGCCGATAGATGTTTCATAGGGAAGAAAAAGCAAACCACACCAGAGCACCCGCCAACACCCACTAATTACCTATGGTTAGACCGCGTCTAGAGTCAGTGACACATAGCGCCATTGTTGGACGGACGTGTGGCCCCTTTTAAGTCAGCTTCCTCCGTGCAACCTTTTAATAACATACACATTGTACGCACATAATATTCTAATACCCCTACCCTAATGGGAGTCAAAATTTCAAAAAAAATGTTTTTACGCCTCTATCGACTTTTTCTGGACCATATGCAGGAAGCGCGCTTCCAAACCTAACTGTCAGGGCTACTCCGGGATGAGAGGGATATATTCCAGCGGAACGACGGCCGAGATACACGACAACTGAGGAGTCACTTTCTACATTGTCTGGGGAGGGTGGAGGGGGTGGAGGTAGAGTTACTATCGGACAGGTAGGTTGGTAGGTAGGTAGGTAGATAGGTAGATAAG